ATACATTTTCTTTCCCATTAAAATGTTCAAGCCTACAGGGCTATCAAAAACTGAGCGAACTAACACCCAGCGCGCCATATAGATAGATTTTTCTCTACTATGGCGCTGAGTAACACTATGACAGACTTGAAAGACGCACGTAATTCTTGTTTACAGGAGCACTCAGAGACTAGTACATTACTTCAAAATAAAAGCGCTTTCTGTGTAGCATAACACCAATGACGTAATTTTTTGGTAATTTTTTTTACCATTTCAGTGTTATATTTAATGTTATGTAATATGAATGAGAATGTATTCTATCTGAAAAATATATTTTAAATGAAAACTATAGGCTCCACTTCCATGTATGATCAAAGTGACAAGGCAGTTCCTTGAACTTGGCATTTTAAATAAATTGCAATTTATGTATACATTTTTTATTTAGTACCATTGCAAAGACAATCTCTATTTATTCAACATACATAATGAATGTGAGTATTAGGTCAACGTCATGTATTTTGGTGTCTGCAAAAGTAAGTGACAGTACTTCCACCTTTTCTGTAGAATGACCCAAATGCTAACGTCAGAGTGCTAACAATCTTACAATGACAATGCCACATTCTGAAGTTACATGTATGTTTACCAAGGTCGCATAAATATTCCCCATATAAATTAATTATTTGACTTTATGTTGGGGTTCTTAAATAAGAAGTCAGGGGAATCCCTAATCCAGAATTCCTCCTCTGGGCACTCGGTACAACTTCTGACTATCTTTTAAAAAGTTGTAGAAATAAGACAGTCAGAAGTGGTGGAACAATCAATGAACCAACGGCAACATTCCTAAAGCCAGTTCTATTATATTCTTTATTTTCCAAAAACAAAGAACATAAAAGGAAACGTTGTTGTGGGACTAGAAAGATAAGAACATCTTGAAAGACATTTTATTTTTCACTGCAGACGTAGATAACATCAGACCAAACAAGGATTCCTGAGGAGTAAGAGGATATTTCCAGAGGGGTAAAGCGACCGGAGGAGTTCCACAGGGCTCGTCACAAATCAAATATTACTTCAGATTTCTCCCAGATGCATGCCACGTGCATCTTATCTCACAGGGAAGAGGAAGAACAAGTATTTGATCATTAGGCCCCCCGTTCCTGCATTGCCAATGACCTTTCCTATGCAAATCTTTACAGGATACTTCCCCTTGGAGAGAGATGTTAGGAAGCCGTGTGAGGCGGGGCTTGAAGAACTGGACCTACGCTGCTCGGTGGTGAACTGAATCGATGTGTAATGAGAAAACAAAAGCTGGACCAAGATCAACGCTCAAGGACTCAAGAAGGAGTTTTAAACAAGTAGAGCTGGTGCATGTCTGCGTGGAGCAGGCGGAGGCACGTTAGCCCTCTGACTGGCTGCTCTGGGCTAACAACCCTTGCATTGATCCGAGGAGACACTCAGCCCTCTAACCTGCTGAGTGCTCAGTTCCAGTGAACAATGGAGTTCAGAGCGCGTCGATACACTACCCTATTGAGTGCTCTCCGTTTAGCAGCAAGATTGATGAGGTTAAGGCTCCCAACCGGGGAGCCAAATGGTGTCAAAACCAAGGTGTTGCTTTGGACAAACAATCCTTCACTGGACCACCACACTGAAAGGCGCTGGTTACTGGCTCACACTCCAGCTCTACCCAGGAAGTGTACTCACACAGGCACAGGGTTTCTGAAAGGGGTTGCAGAGTGTGGTGGATGTGGTTAGGACTTATAAAATGCAGATGAGAATATGAAGGTAGGATAGATGGCGCTTTCTGGACAGGAATGTGCTGCAAATCCCCTAAGACACTAAATGATGTACAAGTGGATTTATTACAGTCGGTCCCTATAAATCTAAGGTTGGCCTGAACTCCAGGGAGAGGTTAATGGATTACAAAGGGATGTGGTATCGAACCTCAGAGAAGTTTATACACCTCATCAATATGTGAAATGCTATTGATCATTTAGACCCTGATAAATTAAATTCATACACTTGATAGCAATATTCAGAAAGCCCCGGATGAGGGAAAATTCAGCTCAGTTTCTATTTGTTGGATGGGGACAGTGGGATCTTGTTTCGGGAAAACAATTTCATATTAAGAAAACTCAGGGTGGCCGTCAGTGATTTGAGCTCTGAGGACTTTGTTGGAATTATCACCTTACCATAAAGCATTGGTTCTCAAACTTTTTCTTTCAGGCCCCCCCTTTGGATAAAAAAAAAGTCGGGCCCCCCCCAACACAAATAGTCAGGCTCAGTGGCAGCGCCAGAGATTTATTTTGGGGGTGCTGTGGGGTAGCTTGACGTTTCATAGAGGGTGATCAAACATTTAGGGTTTCCCATTAATGTACTGGGCGCTACAGTGGAATTTTCTTCTGCAACATTCCCCACGCAAATACACAACGTATCCGCAACTGTTACAATGAAGGCTGGATAATCAGCTCACGGCATATAGGTGTAAGCAGGGGTAAAGTGCTATATTTATAGGTGGTGTGTGGACGTCACATAGGGGGGTCCGGGGTCAAGCTCCTCCGGGAAGATTTGTTGTTAAATATTGAAGTTAAAAGCATCAATCTGGTGCACTTTGAGAGCAACATGAAGAGATCTATGGATACATCTCTCAACACCTATATGAAACAGAACTGTAAACAGATTTGCTTTTTCTTTATGGATATTTTACAAATCACCCTTTTAAACTTTATTCTTTTTTTAATGTCATATAGTATTTCATACCTGTTTTTAATTTATTCTCTTATTTTTTTATAACTATAATGATCATATAAACGTGTGCCTCGGAAATAATTGTTTACATTAATGGTGACCAAAACGTTTGAGACCCACTGAGATAATACTGAGAGATTCCTTTAGTTCACTGAGTCTCATAGGAGAGGACTCTCCTCCACTTTGTTGTTGAAAAAACTCCTTATATCCGTTAGCGTATCGCTAGCACTCTCTCTCTCTCTCGCTCATTCCACACACACACAGAGCCGAGCTTTAATGAAACACAGATCCAGACGTAATAGTACTGTATCATATTATTCTCGAATCAATAATCTTTCAAAATATGATTTTTTTTTTTTTTAATAACCATTTTTCCTCCTGGTCTCTCGCGCCCCCCGTCATGCCTCTGCGTCCCCCTGGGAACTTTTGAGAACCACTGCCGTAAAGTATACAACATCCACACTTTTTTGCTCTAATGTAAATCACAAGAACTTATTGAAGCTGAGATTCTGATTGTTACTCAATATGAAATGTGCACCAGATCAGACAACTTTAGGAATGTTGATATATAGTTATAAGCAACAGTTATTAATTATAAAATGTTGCAGTTATTTAAAAATTATATTTAAATATATCCTGGATATCTTGAAGCTCCCCAATGTATTCATAATAGTAGAATAGGAAACCCTTTATGAGAAGGCTCTACTCCCACAACAGAAACCAAAAGACACAGACGATACACCTACAAATAAACAACTCTTCACACAATTAATGTGAAACTATGTCACTTACTCATTTCCAGAAAGAAAGCAAGCAAAAAAAAGGCTAAAAGTCCCCACCATGTCATGCTCTCTGAAAAGTACTGTACTATTCTCCTCTGTATCTGCTTGTACAGTAGAGCTGGTTTGGAGAATGAGATAATTGAAATCATAAAGTTGACCAGAAATGATTTTAGATTTCAAAGAGTTAGTGTATTTCTCTCCACTGTTAAAATGTTACAGTGTGGAGGTAACTAAATATGTAATGCGTATACTTGGGACAGACATACGATGAAACATTGTTCTACACAATGGAAAGTCAAATGTTTCAGATTTGAGTAATACCTAACATTTTGTATTAAAGAAACTACCCTCATATTGTTACTTGTTATGAGAAAACCTTCCTGTATCTGAACATAAACTACCACATTCACACACTAAAATGTTAACTGCAACCCACTTCTTGCCTTTATGTTAATTGAATAGAAGGAAATACATAATAGGTATATTAAACTCAACTATTATTTAAAAAAGGCACCCTGAAAGTCATGCATTTTGCAATGTATCTACTAAAATATAAACTTGTATTGAAGGAAAAATATAAACATAAAATGCTCATAATACTAGGTTAAGTAGTAGAGTAGAGTTGATTTAAAATGAACATAACAGAGATTGTACTTGAGTTAAGCAGATTTATTTCACATATGTACACCTGTGGCTGACATCCAGACAGTGATCAGTTACAGAGAGGACCAATCACAGGTTCTACAGGGGCTAAAAGCAAACGTTACATTTCTTGATTGAGTGCTTCTTTTAGCCAACCTTATTCATCCATACATAGTCATCTCTTCTGAATTAAAATATATAGTTTACATCGTCTCATCATTCAAGAGTTTAACAGAAACTCAAACAACATCACTTGAAAGTCAGGATGGGTGTCACACGGATACGTGCAGAGCCCCTCTACCTCTCTGTGTTCCTATAGGCCATGTGACGGATGTGGAAATGGCACCAGAGCTGATATCCCTTCTTCTCACTCAGGGACTCTTCTTGTTAGCTGGAGACAGAGTGAGTAATTCAATAAGTCAAGTATTCATTTATTACTTTCCTTTTCAATCATGGGGCAATTTTTTTCTTCTAACTTCCCCCAGCCACCTCCACACTGAGAATCAAAAAAAGTGATTCAAGTTCTGCAACTTCCATCCGTGGCAGCCCTCGTTGTCTTACTGCAGCTTAATTACAAAAATATTGGCGCCGTTTTCTGTAAAGATTACTCACTGTAGGAGGCCCTCCGTAATTTGGACCGCAGGGTTTGTCACGGGAAATAATACAATGGAACTGGGCTTTCTGTATTAGATTTTCTCTTTTAGCCTCCTTGACATTTCAAGCTGCATGAACTAATACATCTGTTATTTGTTGATCATTTGATTATTAACATACTTCACAAACCAAATCAGCGGCCCTGCTGGAGACACAGACACAGCTCAGCAGACAGTCTGGGTTTTCTCTCGCCTGCCACGCGCAAACGCACTCGCTAAAGATGCACAATTCAGCCCTCGGTAAAAAAGGAAAGCTGGGGAAAAAAAACATTTATCTTCCCCTCCTTTGAGCGTATGAGCACTCTGACACCGGCATGGAACAAAGCCCGTCATCACATTCTAATCTCGAATTTCAGGGCTTTTATTTCACCCAAATGCCACCCTGCTGGCCTTGTAAATTATTGACAGACTGACACCAATGCGAAAGGACACATAAAAGAGGCTAAAAGCTCCGGCCCTGGAAGAGCTTGTCCTCTCCTATTGCCATCAACAGGAGAGCGACTCTGCTAATGTTCCCTGGGAGCTCACGGTAACTTTGAGGCTGAAGTGTCAACATATGACTCCTGACCTCCAGCTGCATCACACAGGAGAGATATTGGCCCCTTGGTCTGTATGAAAGCCCTAGTACAATCACAAGGAAATGATGTGAATTATCTGATCAAATGATGAAAATGTAAAAGCAGTCAGTCACACATGGTTAGTATTGCATCCAGCCTTTCAAAGTCATTCCGATTTGACTATTTCTTGACATTTCTCCTTTTAAAAAAACAGCATGGTGGGTGGCTCGGCGTGCACTCATTTAGTTTGTGTGATGAAAAGTCAACCGTGGTAAGCCGTGAGTCAACTAGAAATCCAATATTTGTCAGTTTTACGTCTCCTCACGCCTACTCCTCATTTAGCTCAAGAATAAGATGTTACAGACACAAATAGGAGCAGACAGTTAGGATGAATAAAATAACTAAAAAACAAACAAATAAGTGAGAGCAGAGAGGATGAGAGAGAGTGGGCAGAGATGAGAAGCGGTGTTAGGAGAGGGTTTTAGTTTTCTACTGCTATTTAATCCACCTCGCTTTCAGTGCTGGCACCCTCGGGGCGCCTCAGTTTGTCCACCTGTTCATTCATCTGTCCATCCCCACGCCGGTCCACTGAGTGCATGCTTACACCGTCGTCGTCTTTCTCTTCTTCCTCTTCCTCCTCTACGTGGCTGACCACCTGCTCCTCTTCCTCCTTCTCCTCCTCCCCCTGCACCTCCATGCGGACCTGGTCCTTCAGGTCAAGGAGCATCGTTGCAGCGGTGCCGTTGTCTCCATTGATAACATGAACTACATCAGGCTCTCCCATTGCATCCTGGGAGCTGTGGGGTCCATCTTTGATTGGGGACGAGTTGGCGGACTCGTTACTGACGGGGGAGATGTCGCTGCTGCTGGTGGTGTGGCTGACTGGCGGAGAGCCGGGTACCGATGGAGGCTTCAGAGGAATCTGCCAGGAGGGGATTTTAGGTATAGTGGGAGTGGAAGGGAATTGTTTCCTGTGAAAGAGCGGGAAAGAAAAGAGAAAAGCATGATCACAATGTTATTAAAAAACCTCACTGTGATCATTAGAGCTTTCCCATAATGTAATCAGGCATTCTGCAACCACAAAATACATATAGCTTTCTAAGCCAACAAAGTGTTGACTGACAGCGTATCCTCAACACTAGTTTACATTTGAGCATGCAGCAACACACGAAGCACACTATGTCATTCTCATCATTACAGCAGAGAAAATGGCTTTCCCCCCCCAAAGAACCAGATGTTTGTCACACCTGGCAGAGATGCTCTAAGATTTTTTTTTAATTACATCCACTGCAGCTTTTAAGATCAAAAAGACAACGCTGAATCGTAATGGGATAAGCACTTCTGGGTGTTTTAAAAAAAGAGAAAAACAGTTTGGAGATGATTTGGATCATTTGAACAGGAAGGGAACACGTTTGGAGACAGATGGTGATTCAGAGCCTTTAGTTTGTGATTCAAGCCTTCGCCAGAAAACTCATTGTGAGAGTCAGGATGAAGTGAAGAAAGCAAATGACAAAGGGATTATTGCTGATTAGAATGTACGAGGGGAACAAAACACGCTCAGCCAGACAGTTGTGAGGTAATTTTCGTCCTCGCCGGGTTTCTGATGTACACTTTTACTTCAGGCTTCATTATAGACGCTGATACATAATCATGCATGCTAATGGCCTGACTGAGCTGGGTTGGGCCTAACTAGAGTGAGGAACAAAGAAAGAGAGAATGAGGGGATGTCTGGCATTACACAAAGAGACCTTTGACAAAACCAAATATTGTACACCTTGTATTCAAATGTAGCAGGTAGGATGACAATTTCTCCCGACTACAAACAATCCAAGCCAAGGTAAGGAGGAAGGAAATAAGGAAGAAAGAGGGAAAAGGAGAAGGAAGGAAGGAAGGTAAGGAATAATAAATGATGGAAGAAAGGAAGAAAAGAAAATAAGGAGGAAAGAAGGAAGGAACGTAGGTAAAGAGGAAGGCAGTTAGGAAGTAAAGAAGGAAGGGAAGTGAGTAGAAACAAATAAAGGAAAACACAAGAAAGGATGGATTTAATATGAAAAGTAGGACAAAATGAAGATAGAAACCAAAGGAAAGAAAAAAGAAAGGAAAGAAAGAAAGAAGGTAAGGAGGAAGAAAGAAAGGAGAGTAGGACAGAATACAGAGAAGAAGGAAAGGAAGAAGGTAAGGAGGAAGAAAGAAAGGAGAGTAGGACAGAAGACAGAGAAGGGATAGAAGGAAGGAAAGTAGGATAGGATGAAAAAGGTAGAGGAAAGGAAGGAAGGAAGGAAGGAGGGAGGATGAAAAGAAAGAAGGAAGTAAGGAAGGAGGAAGGCAGGTAGGAATGGAGGAGCTAACCTGAACCCTAACCTCGCTGGGGGAGATACCGAATGATAAACAAGTACCTGTGTTTGATCAGGAACCATAACATCTCTCTTGGTCTGCGGTGTCAGTTTGCATCCATAACAGGACTGAAGACGTGTGGTTTTCTTGCTTACCAACAAAAGCATTAATACAAAGAAGACCAGCTGATGCCTGCAGTATGCTAATCGACCAAGGCACTGTAATCAGTATTATAACCTCTAGCGCCTACATATTCAAGTTGAAGGATTTAGCTTTAAGTGTGCGAGTCGTTTGGAAGAGCAATGTGACATTATGTGTTCTTTCATTTGATTTATTCAGTCACAAACTCAAACTTTCAGACCATAAACCACAGAAGTGTACAGTGGAAGTGGGTATGCAGATATAGATGTATAATAGGGGTTTTGTAGTTTTGTAGTATGTTGCTTCTTAGATTTTATAAAATATATAAATAATGAATCTTAACTAAATGTAACAACTCACAGTCTTCCTCAGTACATGGGACATTCATGCTCATGTGCAACATGTAAGAGTACAAAGACAATATTTCCTACATGAAACTGCTCCCACAAAAGAGGCATAGGACACATTTTCACTGAGTTGGACAGTAAATTCAATATATACCTTTTAAAAAGAATTAATTAAATTAATCAATTCATTTGTGTCCTTATCTGTCATGTGCAAACCAAAAATAAATAGAATAAATGTCATTTCAATGTGGCAACGTCAGATTATGTGGATAGTTGACACATATTTAAATGTTATGTACACATGAAATATGGCCTAAGTGAACAATGGTTCAAAAGAAGTGCATCCAGGAACATTGAGTGGTTGTCCATTTTCTCACACAAACACACACACAACTTTGTTACCTGCTGAGCAGTAAGCCCTTCAAAGAGACGATCTCGGCCTTCAGCTCTCCAACGGTTTGGTTGTCCAGGACACGGTGTGTTGAAGACGAGGTCTAGAGGAAACACACAAGACACACACAACAAATGTCACAGACACACACACACAAAACTGTTCAGGTCACATGTAGGGTCAACACACAAAGTCAATACACAACTTTCAACAACTCCTCTGTGCTCAGTCTCAACAACATGAAATCATAAAAAAAGCTTTGTATGAAAAAAAGCACAAAGGGTTCAAGGTAAACAAATATGGTAAATGCAAATGCTAAAAGCCACATTTTTTTGTGTGGTCAGGTCATTCGTCGCCATAACAACTTCACAACGGCTTACGGCTGGTGATGACAGAATGGAGGACTAACAACCACAGCCACTTTTATGGCGTTGACTGCTCAGAAAGTCCAGTGAGTGTGAATCATGCTGTTTTTACATAATTTTCCATACTATCTAGAAAAAGATTAGGCCAGTGTCTTGTGTTTTGGATAATGACTTTATCTTGAACAATGGTCACATTCATGAAGGTAGACCATAGTTTGTTCTTTTTTTCTTTTATCAAAGGCATGTGTTATCACACACACGCTGGTATGGCATGAGATGCTTCAGGCTATAAAGGCAAGTATTTGAATGGCAAATTGCTGCAGAAAATCTGTCTCTGCAGCACCTTTTTAGGGTTGGGCATGACCTTACAGAGCTATGAAATGACAGGTTTGGAGAAGTAGAAAACATCGAGGCAGCTGTCAATTGGGATGATAAAACAGAACTGGGGCAAAGTTTTGTGACTCCTGTGTCACCACAAAATAAATGGAAATCCTACACAATTAGGCCAAGAGTGGAGGTCAAAGTCAATCTGAGTTTGTGAGATGATGACTAAGTTAAGACACAATAGGAACATTACTACCATCCAAAACCATTGCATTTTTCTTTTGAAGTACTGAAGAGTTGCACTGCTTCTAGCCAAATGAAACCTGTAAAGAGGCACCATGAGAAGGCATTGCTTGCCTTAAGTCTCAACCCAAAAAAGATTGGGAACCAGTGATGTAGATAATTGCTCCCGATCCGCGATGCATTGCTGAATAAAAAAAGAAATATAACAAACATGTGCGAGAACAGGGGGAATAGACTGATGAGACCAGAGGGAGGAGAGGGAGAAGACATGGGAGAAAGTGGGAGAAAAGAAAAGTAAAAACTGTAATTAAGACTCTCCTGACTCACTGGAGGAAGCTTGTTAGGAAGCCTGGACCCCCTATCGAAGGGAGAGGGATAACTTGGACTCTTTGCCTTGTAATTAAATCTAAGAGAAATTAATTGAATCACATCTGAAAGGGATCAGACTCATTTACAGTGGAAGGAGGGAGGCAGAGGAGGAGAAGTGAAGGGAGACAGAAAAGGAGGCTTTTTTTTGGCTCTTATCGACTCCTAAACCTCGCTGATAAGCAGCCCTGCTTTAGAGGTGGTGCATTGGAGGCCTGCTGAAGACACTCTTATTACAGCCGTCACCTCATTAGAACCATCTTAATCCCTCGCCTCCCCAAGGCACCCGTATAATAAGGCTGGATTCTGCTTCTCTCTCATTTTACATCGGAAAAAATTAATTGCCGTATGGGCTGAGCTAAAAGACTTCCAAGGCAGAGAATCGACTTAAGAAGTATGCAAATTGCTCCAAATAACTAGAAATTATTTCTATATCACTTCACATTAGAAGAAAAGGCTTTAGAGAAGGATTGTTAACCGCCAGCTCCATAATGTGCATTATCTTCCAAGCAGCACTATACAATATCACACATCAAGCCTTGTCACACAACACTTCCACTGACATATGTCTTATTAAGTCTGAAGAAACCTAATTAAATGTTGGGCCAGGACTGGATTTCAGCTTTGAGATACATTATGAGAGTGTGTACACACATTGTGTAAGAATCTTGTGTTAAGTGCACTAGCTGCTTAGGTGGAGCTGAGTGGAGGGGTATCAGTGACTGGAGAGATAGAAAAAAACACAGCTGACTTAAAAAGCCCCTCCTGAAGAGCTGACACATATCCCAAAGACCGCACTGTGTATATGATGTGATGTTTTAACAAAATGATGACCAACAACTTCTGCAGTTACTTTTGCAGCTTTCTTGCAAAAGAATACCTGTCATCAAGAAGATATGTCTTTGTTACCAATTTTATTAAATAAATACTCAAAAGAAAATTATTATTTTCAAAGGTTGAATGCTGCATATGTGACTTAAATGTAATGTGTATTATTTCTAAGACTTAAATGTTAAACTTAGCAGTTCTCCTGCTGGTTTCTAGGATTTAAGCTTGTAGCTTTGAAAAGGTCTGTCTGCGTATATTTATGACTTTATACACCATTCAATTATTCTACGCAAATGTCGTTATTCATTGACCCACCTGCTCTCATTGACTAAATAAATGAAAGCAACACAACTGCTTAATTAAATCAAAAAGTATGAAAGTTTCAGAGTTGAGTGGAAATGTCTCTGCTGCTCTTTCCTCTGGGGTTTGACTTCTATCATACTTCCTGGTGTGCAGGTGCAGGGCTCTGAGAGCTCTGTTTAGCCAAAACAGTGGAGAACAAAACTCTCAGCTTGGCACTGCACATCCCAAAAATCATCATGCATGAACAAACAACCAACAACCAAATGAACCCACCAGCCACAACCAAAAACAGGACTAAGCCCCGATGAGAGAAGCCACCCAGTATCAGCCACCAGTGTGATGGCAGGATGTGATTTTGTCGTGTAAATAGTGTACATAGTAAAGATTTGCTGGTTTAAAAGCCTTGTAGCTAATGACTCGGATGGGTGCCTGGGTGTGAAAAGGGTTGGCCTCTTTCTGCTGGTTAAGTAAGTGGTTCAACAAAAAAAGAAAAAAAAATGTATCACCAGCAAAGAAAAAAAAAGACTATCAAGTCTAGCAGCACCCAAGGACGGCAACGCATCTGGCTAAATGAAGATAAATGCCTGTGGACCATTAGCAACAAGATAAGATCTTTAACAAGGCTTGTTTAAGAGTGTCTGAAGGCAAATTAATTCACAGTTACTCTGCCGGCAGACAGTGTGTTTTCGTGTAACGCATGTATATTTATGATGGAATTAGTTTCAAAGGAAGTCCCCAGAGGAGTGTTTTTGAGTGGAAACACTGGTACAGTGCAATTGATTTTACTCTATTTATGCACTTTCCCACTGGCAGTTCATCTCCCGCATACAAGGAGGCGGTTTCTAATCTTCTATGTACTATCCACTAATAAAGACAACGATCAGTGAGTTGAGACAGCAGGGAAAACACAGTTAACAGGCAGATTTGTAATGATAATGGATCACAAATAGACTGGGCTGTTTAACATCAGAGCTGAATCATCTCATCCTTGGAAAAATCTATCCTGAACACCACTGGTAGAACACAGCTGCGTGACTTTGAGGAGTCATGATAACTGAGAAAATGGTGAAAAAGAGAGGAACTGTATCCGGCGCTAAAATATGGAAATGTGTAAAATCAGCGTGTGCTGCGTGTGTGCACATGAGTCATCTGTCTGAGCTCACTTCCATAATGAGGTCCCCAGTTTAGGGACAGTAAACGCACTCCGCAATTGAGCGGTTTCCAAACTACGAGAAATGTTTACTTAGCAGCTGAGGAAACAGAAGTCTCCATATGTTTCGGGTTAAAGGCACATTTCCGCGTTGAGAGGTATAATTGCTAAGCGTGGAGCACTTTGAGCGGCGTGGTGAAGCAAACCCTGAAAGCCACAAACGGTGAATGATAAGTAGCTCGCCAGCTCCAACATGTGTTTCTCATCAAACATCCAGGACCTGAAAACAATTTCCCAATTTCCCCCGTGGCCTGAGACAACAGAGGGCCTTGTGCCGACTCGCAGGGAAAATTTAAGATCAACACTATAGCTATAAAGCAGAGTTTATGATTTGTTTAATGGGTGTTTTGATTTGAATTATACTTTTTATACACTACTGCTGTCCAACAAGGCACTTATAGCAAATGAAGTAGACACTTTTTAATCCAATCTGTGATTCGGAGATGACAAATGAAAAGAAAAAAGCATTCCACGTCCCTTTATGCTGGAGAGAACTCATTGTTTGATGTGTTCCTACAGCCTGTCTGATAGGAAACTTTAGATAGATTTGAGACCAGCTGACTTGGGCCTCTTCTGCTTTGTACTCGCTCAGAGGGACTGTGTGGCTTAGATCTTGAAACAGCCAAAAATGAGCTATGAGTCGTCAGTTTTTGATGAACCTCGTCCAGGGAAGAGATTCATATTTTTTTTCTCCTCTTTTGTGCCAAAGCAGATGTGTCCGCATATGTTTTCCTGCGATTTCCAGATGCTACAGTGAAACACCCATGTGCTTAACAAGCTGTGGACATAAAACATTGTCTAAGATTGTCTCTTCCAAGGCACTTTTTTTTAAAGCCCAGAGATCATAAAGCAATTTATGAGCGGTGTTATAAAAAGCAAGCAACATTTCATCTCAGCACATAAGTTTTTAGACCAATCACTCACACCGTTTCACCTAAACACTTACAATTCTGAGTAGATTATGAACACTGTCTATAAAAATCAAGGCGAAGAGGAACGACAATATGGTTAAAGATTATGGTCCAATGATGAGATGCACCATACCTTTTTGCAGCTTGTGTTCTGATGATATACAGTATAATAAGGCTGTCCATCTAAGGTGGTTATGACTCGGGGAAGCACGGGAGGTTTTAGTACACAGAGGCCTCGAGAAACCTTTTCTCTCCTCATCAATCTGCAGAATTCAACCTGCAACTTTACGTTTACGGAGCTCTTCTGCAATTTCAGAGTTACTGCCTGTCTAGCTCTCCTCAAAAACATTAATCATACGTAACAAACCTTGAAGGTGCAGTCCATAACTTTCATGCTCAAACTACAGTTAAGATGCACTTCTTGCCAGTGAGGTGTAAAGTTGTTTCAGCTCATTGTGGTTAGTTTGGCAAAAATATAAAATAAATCAGACGTGCCAATTTCTGCTGTAACTAAATTAAAGTAAAAACAACTACAGCTCTGGAGAACGATACTGTGATGTGAAGGTAGATTTTCAGATGTTTAACTGAAATTGCTGACATCATAGCAAACTGATTGTGCTGGTAAGAGAAGAGCACAGAGTTGCTGATGAGGTGTTTTAGCTACCTGTGATGAAGTCAGCTCTTGAGAAAGCTCCTGGATTTTCTGCTGCTGCTGGATCAGGAGCTCCTGGACGGAGACCAGAGTCTGCTGCAGCTGGCTCACTGTGAAAGCAAGACGGTAAATTCATCAAACTTTTTTAAAAAAAGAGAAAGATTATGTTGTTTTGGTACCTCAGAAGTTAACATTTTCTTTCAAGTGTCGTCGACAGAACAGATGAGACTCAACTTGTGTCAATGATCAAAGCCGTCCTCTAAGAATTGTAATCAAAGTTAATACTGGGTAACTTAAGTCGCAGCTTTTTGGTCCGAGGCGCTGAGGGTAGAGGGGGGGGGGGNGGGGGAGGGGAGGGGGCACATAGGATGGAGATATTAATCTCTAGTGCCTGAACTTAAATCAAATAACAGTCTCTAACCTTCCATTATCCACCCAGACACTGCCTTCTAATGCATCTTAAATCCTCAAACGATCAACAAAGGAAAAAACAAGGCTCTCATTTGGGAGGAGGCTGCCAGACAAAATGTCCCCCCTAATCCTAATAAATATTGTTCTTTTTCCATTGACTTTGAAGATTGAATTAGTTCAAGTGTTGGTGTTGGACGAGGGTGTATGATTTCAAATAACACCGAGCACAGTTTGTTGCCCCCTGCTTCCAGTCACGCGTGTATTACCAAACAATGCATTAAGTTTCCCCGAGCTGATTATATTACAGAAAACCAATAAACATTCATATAAATCATGGGCGTGTAAAGTGTTAAATCAAGCCTAATAGGATTAACATCAACAGATATTGTGGCGGTCCACTGCTGAGGTTGTCAGGCCAATGGTTAAAAGCCTGAGCTGCAGCCGGCTGGACGGGATGTAAAGAACCCTCCTCTCACATTAACCCGGGACAAAAGACAGAGCTCGGCTGTGTTTCTTTTGAAAAACCAACACACACAAGATATTTGATCTTAAAAAAAGCTAATATCTTGTAGTAACACCTGTGTTTAAAAGGGTGGAGTAGTATCAATATAGGTGGGGTGCTGAACGTTTGATCTTTTCATGCGCGCAGAATCCTTTAGAACACGTGTTTGAGCAGGATCGTTGGTTGGAGCAAAAAAAACTCATTGTGCAATCAGTTTCAGTTTGTTACTGAGTTTGTGCTCCAGAGTGTGACCAGCCTTTCTGAAGACGGTAGTAAAACTAAAACACCACGGCCATCCCTGCTTAAAAAGGTGTTGCTATGACAGGGTGTGCACGCTAAACCAAGAGCAGCCCTATTAGTCTCTGATTCCACCTCACCACAGAACAGCTTATCCAGATGTGTGTCAGTCTGCCAGCCTGTAATACTGTGCCTCCTGAATTACCACTGGCACCGCTTTTTCAGCCACTTCAGCCAAACGCTCCAAATCTTTTCATGTCCCTCCACAAAGTTAACTCCTGGACTCTTCGGACACTTGACAAAAATGCATAACTTCTCATCTTCGGTTATCACAGATATGGAGCCAAGAATAATGAAGTCAATGACTTTGGCCAGGCATGAATCAGAAGGAGGCTGTAGCCGGGGTGTGTGTGTGTGTGTGTGTGTGTGTGTGTGTGTGTGTGTGTGTGTGTGTGTGTGTGTGTGTGTGTGTGTAGAATCAGAGACAAGATGTGTGAGGCTTGCAGCTGCTGCGAGGACGGTGCACATTGTGTATTCAGTAAATTATTCAGTAAATACCTCGATATAATGTACACTACATATGTCCAGGCCTGTCTCTGTCTTTAATGGCCAGCTGGTCACCAATATGGCTCCCACCGACAAAGAGTGCCCAAACAGCCGCACAATTCCATTACAGCCTGGGTGCGCTGAAGTAGTTCCAAGATCCATTCATTAATTGTCTGTGTGAAGTTGTAGGCAAATCATAATGGGAGTCAAGGCCTCCTTACTCTCGAGTTGGGGCTGGCGAGAGAGACTAATGTGGTCCCCATTCAAAAGGATACATCACCTCATTGCGCCCGGCACTAGAGAAATACATGAACTTTAACAAAAGGGGGTTCAAGCAATTGGCAGCAGCGAGGCAGTCGGTCGCTATTACTCAGTGCAGCGAAGAGAGAGGGAGCAATAGGGAGAGGAAGACAAAGGGAAAGCAGAGGGAGAAAACTCTCAGTGTAATTGCAACCCCTCTCCCCAACTGTTAACTACAACAGTCATTAACTACAATAGCAGCTTGGCTACTGCAGTCATAGCAAATTAGTTCCCCACACTGGCTGAAGAAAAAGACTCATGTTTTGTTTTTTTCCACTGGAGTCTCACCTACGCGGTGTAAAGCACAGGAGGACTCTCACTGTGAAATCCTGTCTGAACCGACAAACAAAACAGGGTTTGTAAGTTGGCAAATCTCCAGAAAGTGATAAGTACACGAAGAACAGGCAGTGAAATAGACAGAGGAAATGTGTTTGCATAGTTGGGAGAAAATGACCATAAAAGAGCGTGTATTTGTTAATCAGATTCAGGGTGGCACACCTTGCACGCGATCGCACACAATTGCTGCCCTACATCTACCTTAACCGGCCAGAAAACAAAAGCCTGGGTGTGACTGGGAACAATGATAACAGCACTATTTTCATCCTCACTATGTCGGTCCGTGACAGGAGCAGCATAGTCAAAAAGGTAATTTGTTTTAATTTAGAGATGAAGGGGGAAAAGTGACAAAGGATGGTTGTGTTAGTCTCGCAGCAGCTCAAAACCCAGTAAACACATGCATGGTGGTAATTCATACCATTTTTAAACAAAGATACAATCACTTAATTAATGCAATATTTAGCCAATAAACTTGTGAGGTTATTGCAAAACACCTTTAGGATTTAACATCTCAAATCGAAAAATACCTACATAAGGAAAATGCCATCAAAGAGTTAGTAATTCATTCACAAATTCTATATTTTCAGAAATGCCTTAAATATTTGATCTTATTTCCAATTACCTAATGCCTTTGAGTTATTTTACTTAAAGCAGGCTTTGAACAAACAACGCTGCATATTGTCGGCTTTACAAAAAATGTATATCACTTTTTATCTTTTTAAATACAGTAAACTCTCTGCAGGCATAGGTTTAAGCATGCGTCGACAGTGTTTGTTTAGTTACTCTCACTGACTATGGGCGACAAAACTTCTTCAATCCAGCTTTTAGTTGTTGTGTGAGCTGTCTTTGAGTATCCTGAACAAATATATTCATATTTAACTTTCAAAACGCTAGTTTCAGCAGTCATTATTTCTAACCGACTAGCTATCTCAAATGGGAATTGATACCTTTCCGGTGAAAACATACTCCAGTTCAACAGGACTGCTAACGAGACCAAACTTTCTCAGAGTGCCTCTCTCATTTACGCCTCCCTAGATTTTTAATTATACTGACGAAGAGCAAGAAAGCATCTTTCTCCCGGCTTCACTCTCTCTCCATGTCTGACAGCGAGGTTGAGATTCCTCACCTGTCCAACACGGGAGCCGCACCTGTCACCGTGCACTTAATCACACTAGGGCCAGTGCCGAGCCCAGACGCTACACAGTGGCATGCCACACGCACATCCTGCACGCAAAAGCACTCACACATACAAACACACACACACACAAATACGCACAGAAAATTAAAATGAACTTTCTCGCAACCTACAGGGAAGAGGGTGGATGACGATGATGGTGGTGGAGGTTTGGATGGGGGTGATGTTGGTGCAGGGGGAGACGGATGGAGGGGGGGGATGAGAGAGGATGGGTGGTGGGGGGGGAAAAGTTGTCATTTCCCAACTCCTCATTAATATTCCGAGGTTAAGAGCTTTTCAGCGAAACGTAATTAATTGAGCCCGAGCCTGACAGTAAACAAGCAATTTCAAATTAAAGCGAAATGACAGCGGCGTCATTTGTTAAAAACGTGCGGGGGCCCCAGATTTTGGCGACAGATAAATGAGGGAAAATGTTAAGGAGGGAGAAAGTGATGAAGATATTAATCTTCACCTGTCTGTGTCAGCGTGCCACTCATTGCCGCAATGTTGCTCTCCATCCTCTGCAGATGCTTCTTGTCCTCTCGGCGGCCCATAATGAGGGGAAGGATGTATTTCTGCAATTAAAAGCATGGCACAATATTATAATTCTCTCTGGTGGGATGGGGCAGAAGATGAGGAAAAGACAGGGCCACCTAGACTTGGCAGCATAGGGTCAAAAGCATTGTTTTATTGGACGAGTGCCTCATTGTCTAAACTGCCTGATTATGTGCATGTTATTTTTTTTGTGGCAGAGTGCCCAAGCAACTGATAAAGACATGTCCACACATCTAGTGTTTAAACCATTAGTTGATTACAAAATTAACCAACCTTTTGATTAACCATTAGTTGTTCAAGTTACTTATCAAGCATTTATGTCAAATAGTTGCTGTTTCAAGATTTGCTGCCACTATTTCATACCATTGTTATTTAAATATCTGCTGGGTTTTTAGTCTTTGCTCAGAAAAAAAAAACACTTTGAAGATGCATCCTTAAATGTTGTTCACAGGTTTCTATATATAAATAGACAAACACATAAAACAAATATATTTATACTAATCTACAATGAATCTGTTAGTTGAACCACTTCAAACATATTTTGAGCAATATACATGAATAAAACCCAGGAAGGGACAGTGAAAATAAGACAGGCCTCATGGGGAAAAACATGGCGATGAACCCTGAAAATAGTCTAACAAAACCCCAACAATGTCATGTTGTTTATCGTCTCTCTGCTGCTAAATAAACAGAACTCCACCAAAATGATATGTTTGTCTGACAGCCAAATGAGGAGGTTTGCTATCCAGTGTGAGTGTCAACCAGATGAGCCGCTGGTGAGTGTCTCACTGAATCCTTTACATATGAGCAGATCCAAGCTCACCAAATAACATCAGAGTTGATGTGGTCCTAGAGGGCCGCACTGAACTGCAAACGTTTGTTTGTTTAAAAGCTGAATAAAGGCGACTTAATACCTCACAGCCGGTTTGCAGCCCTCAACTGCCCGAGCCGGGTTTTCCCTCCAACTCAGGTGGCAAGCCGCAACACCAGTGCAAGTAATAAACACTTTTCAGAGAAAAAGATTAAATGAGTGTCAACACGTAGTAATTAATAAGTGGGTTGCTGGGAGTGTGATGTTTACAAGGTGCGCCATAACATAAATAAAGTATGGGCAGAAGCCTGGACATATGGTGCGACTGGCGCTACGCTCCAATGACATGACAGCAACCTGTGCCGTCCCGCCGGGGTATCCCACCTCATAGGGGACCAGTGGCTGGCAAACCCTTTGGCACGTATGAAACAGTGTGTGTTTTCCTCAGTGGAAGAACACAGAGACAAAGGGACTGGGCATGTGCATCCTTATAAAAAAGCTGCGTAAAATGGATGAAATAATAGGACATAACAGGATCTATAGAGAAGTCAATATGTCCGACAGGGTCAGGTAGGCATATGCAAGTACATGATACGCGCTCCAATTCTCTCTCGTGCACACACAGAGGGAACGGCCTGTCATCCGGGCAGAGAGCTACTGCTAGAGCTCCTGTCCTCCTCTAAAACGAGAGTAATGGCTTCCACATGCCACTCAGACTACTACTAACAACCACTATGGGATTAATGTCACCGGGGACAAGGGGCCTCATGAGCTCATGTTCAAGGGCTGCTAAACCCGATAAAAAACCAGGGTGATTATTTTTAGACGGTAGGACGTCAAAAAAATGGTTGTGTGCTGTGTTGGCAACTATATTTTTTAAAGGAAACAAAATGTATATGGAGAGGAGGAGGGACGGGGAAGTTAAAAAGAAGGGCTTCAAATGAGATCATGCTTTGACGTAAAGCAGGGTGGCTTTAATAACAAGACCAGAGTGATGTTACATACTGCAGAGGCGCCTTCTATTCTAGCACCATCATTCATCATGAACTGATGTACTTGCAAAGCCCACCAATTTTAATGTAATATCAGGGAGGCAGTACTGACAGATCTTAGGATGCAAAGGATAATTTGTAAAACAAATTTTAGAAAGATTACCTGTGAAAAAAGTCAGTGAGGAAACATAAAGAGCAGGAGAAGCAGGGTGCAACTTACTTTGTAAAGCTGATGAAAGCCAAAGGCGATGCCAACCATAATGATGGTGAGGGCACCATAGTCTCTCCATCTGTAGACTGTGGGACCTGAAGGGGAGGATAAGTTGTTTGAGGTTAATGGGAAGTTTAATTTTAGCTCGAAAGTTTATATCATACATTAAAGTTTGTAATAAACATTTGTTAATGCATATTAGATTTCGTTATACTTTTTATGTCCCTCAATGTCACATAATCATTGCATGGTTGTATTCTTTAGATGCTGATGGATGGAAACAAGTTGTGCTGCATCACATTACTGTGACAATGTAATTTATACTTGCTCTAATTATTGTAATGTTATTTGTAGTAGATTAGACAACAAAAGCACGTTCGGAACATCTCCTAAATAATTCATTTTAGACTCTAAGAAATAAATGGAAGCTAATGGATGCCTTGAACTACAGTAACAAATAGATTTATCATCTCTTACAAAGCACAGCCATCTAGTTTGTTGAATGAAAATGAAATGTTTAGTTTAGACAATTTGTACTTAATGCAAACCAATAATGTGTTCCTTTAAAATAAAGATATCGTAAAAATAAATTCATAAATGAGCTCAATGCAGTACAAATGCTGTTCTTTTCATTACAATCAATCATCTATTTATCCATCGAGCTGTTTACATTCAACTCTGACCTATACAGGGTTAGGTAAACAAAGCATCACCCACTCTATCCTGCTCATCCAGAAAGGACACCATTGTCTTCCACTTATTTAGGGGTTGGGCCTAATACAGTGTTTGCAAATAAATCACTAAAATGGACAGGAAGGTAAGTCTTTGTGTGTGTGTGTGTGTGTGTGTGTGTGTGTGTGTGTGTGTGTGTGTGTGTGTGTGTGTGTGTGTGTGTGTGTGTGTGTGTGTGTGTGTGTGTGTGTGTGTTTAGAAGTTGACTGCCTTGCTGAGTGACAGATAATGTGAAAGTGTGTCATTGTGCAAGCTGTCATCTGGGTAGGCCAACTGTCTGTCAAAGTGGAAATTCCCCACATAAGAGAGGCATTCAACTGAAAATGTCACTAAACAACAAACAGGTCTGCAGGAAATATACTGTGAGCTTTTTCTTTTAGACACTCTGGTTGTGCCCAAATGAATATAAAATTATTAGCGGATAAGCCACTAAAGTACGCCACTGATATTCTATTACAGGTCTGATTTCACCTAATGGGTTATGTGGGACGCGTTTACTGGCTTGAAGTGAGCAAACCAGATTGATCTTGTGCCTTAACACTTGTGTGATTTGACATGCAAATAAAATGAGAGAGCCACTGTCATGTTGGACTATATGGTATTTCTCAAGGTGAATGCCATTTTATTCTTCTTACTCAAGGGCACGTTTCATTGCTGATGCAGCATTCAGGGATGAACCTCTAACCTTTCCAATCGAGAATTTTGAGTCATTCTCCAGCATCCATATGGTAACCACATAAATTTGGGTCTTCATCAACATTATAGCTGCAATAGACTGTCACCTATCCCAGAATACCTTGCTTCTGAAAGGCCTTGGAGTCCTTGGGATAGGTGGTTGACCCTGAACAAGCCTCACTGCATCACACAGTGTCTTCACCTGCTCTTTCCCCCCCGTTAGGACCTTTCATTCTTCCTCTGTCTCTCCTTTTTCCTCTACCACTTCCACTCTGCCATCTTCCTTTTTTTATTTGGTCACTTAAGCTGTGGAACTGTGGTATCCATCCCCCGTTTTTCCAATCTCCTCTCAAATTTATTGGGTTCAGTGGAGGCCTTCCTGTCCTTCTACCGCGTGGAAATAGAGATCAGAGTATCCATTACTTCGACAGAGATGGATGCGGGTCCCCGTGCACCGTCCCCATAACAAGGACATCAAAGGGAGGTAGCCCCCTCTTTTCAGCGTGACCCCCCATACAAGACTCCCCGCTCTCACCTCATTATGCAGCTCCCTTATAGCCATTTTGATATAAAAACCCCCCACTATGGACGGAGAGCCGCGAGTCTCTCTAACTACATGGCCATCCCATCAACATCACTTTCATTACAAAACATGAGATGCCAGGGGAGTCAAGGACAGTGTGGTAATAAATGAGGGTGGAATACATCTGGAATCATTGTCATATGGGTTAAGCATTACGCGGACTTCATTCTGCATTGGTAAATCAGTGGACAGCACTCATAACCTCCTGAGGTAATAAAGATACAGGTTGCAGTGTGGGGTCTTCCCAGTGTGGACCCCTTTGAAACAGAATGGCAAGAGACTTCATGAGCTTGTGCTGTGCAATTTCATATCCCTGTCCCGTCCCTTCCCTTCATTGTTGTATGGCAACATGTATGTAAATATTCTGGTTTTGATACAGATAATCCTCTTAAAGGGGTTTTAAATTAATAGTAACAAGAGGGAAGATGTCTAACAGCAAACCTGATTAAGGTTTTTTAGACTTCTTTCTTCAGATAAGAGTGCAGATAAGTATTAATATTACATATATGCATGGTATCAAAGGGAAGAAAAGGATGTGTGCACTCACTATGTGGTGCAAGAGCCAGCTGAGTGGCATGGTGTGGATGTGGGGGCCCCACAGGGATCAGAGCCAGGACTTCTTCAGTACTTCCAGAGCGCTGGATGGCCAACTCTACCTCCACAGCCGTGAGCCCTGGAATACAGACACACACGTTAGAGACATTTGGAGGAGGTACAGTCACTGTGTGTTAATGGGAAACGCCAAATGGCTCCTTCGCTATCATAATCTATGCTTAAATACTTCCCAAGCTGCCCACAAATCTTTTAAGTACAATTTAGAGAAAGTATGACAAATGTTCATTCAATTTTGCCTAACCTCCTCAAAAATGCATTTTCATTTCATAATTCAGAAATTCCACTGAGAGTTTCCGTTTCAGGGACATCCATCAAAGGCAGATAGCGCGGAAAGGTTCACACAATGAAATCTGAAACTCTGCTAGCCTATTAACTGCCACCAAAGGCAAAGAAAATAAGAGTCTGTCCACTTCTCCATTTATATTTCCCATGTGGAGATTTCATACACCCCAGACAGCGAAAATGCATTATTTTAATTTCTTCATTGTAATGTAAATGTATTACATAATTTTGCAAATGCCAATATAATTTAATCTTCAGATCTTTTTAATGATTTTAGTGATGATTAAATTGCAAAGGGCTCCCTGATGGAGAATCTGAAGGGAGGAGAGAAAAAATCTAATATGAACATCTCCTTTTGTGGCAAGAAAGGATTTTATTTCAGGCACCATATGCTGTGGGTCTAATTTTCTAATGAGCAACTTGGCCTTAACAAAAGAAAATAATGACAACTATTGATGAACTACATTAAAAAAAACATTAACCAAATCATAATAAACAAAGCTGAAGACTAAGAACCAAAAGAAATGACAGTAATATTAGACAATTATGAGCATGGTTTACCTTACGATAAAAAACAAGCTAAGTCTGTATCATCATGTGGTCCATTGCTTATTGTGGTCTAACAGAGTATCTCTCTCACTAACATCTCACTTCCTTTGGCCATTTCCCTTGCTTATTGACAGAAAACCCCCTTTGTAAGAGAGCCTTTTACCTGCACTGTTCCCGGAGGATTTAGAGAATTTACACAAGCTCAGAATAAGCTTCCTTCATCCTTTCCAGAGAAATCGAGCAATTGGAAAAGGTTCAGTTGCAGAGGTTCAAGAGATAGTCCAACGTTTTCATTAAAAGTAAGTGCTCAGAGCCAGATCCTAATATCTCTGGTACTGACCTCCAGGGTGGTCTTTACAAGAGAAGCATACCGTTTCACCCAGGTGAAGTATTAATATTATAAACTGTGTAAACATGTACAGAAGAGCTTTTAACTTCTTCAGGTTTTTCAATATTTCTTATACTATGATTCAATTATCCTCCCGTTTCAGTGATCTATTGAACCTTTGCCCGTATCAGCGGCACAACATCATGGAAAAAAACCTGCGCTAATCTACCACACAGTTTGTGCCAAGAGGAGGTCCCTCCCGTCACCTATTTAAATGCTCCGAGGACTTCAAATGGCCATGAAAATGGTTGAATAATTGAAGGCAAATATTGGCCAGCCTGTAGTCTACAGCCGGTCCTGAGTGCCAGGAAGTGGTGAGCGCCATGTGCTGAGTTTGTGCAGTCAGACTGCACTGTCAAATAAGCAATAATGTGTCCCCGGACTCCTGATTCATCTGACCACAGCAGACTACATGGTGGCAGACTATTGAGTGAGACATGCAAAGATCTCCGTTTCACTGAATGAGAGGAAATAAAAACAAGCTTCTTCCTTTCACCTTGAAATGTAAAGTCTTTTGAAAATAGAAAAAACACATTTATGCTGCCATTGAGCTTAATGTATGTACATCTTAATGGCTGCTCACACCTCTGATGTTGTTTATGCAGCAAATGAAAGGTTTTGGTAGCTTGCATTAAAATAAAATACATGAAAAATACTAAAGCTGTTTACTAGTCAAATTACAGCTTGTTAAGTTGTGTTGCGTGCTCTGATCTGTTTATTGTTGAGGTGAAGACAACAGCAAATGAAAGAGCCCTTAGATCCAAAAGAAAAGGGAACACGGTGAAAATGAGTTTTACATATAAAAGGAAAAGACCAAAAAGCGATTGGGAAATTTATTATGGGTTCCAAAACCTGTGGAATGACCCCTGGACCCCTATTTCAGATCGACCTGTGGTGAGATGAATTTTTTAAGACATAAATTACACCTAATGACGACACCATAAAAAAGAACAATAATGGAAAGCTATTCTGTATTTCATTATACTGTATTATTTGGTGCACCTGATACACGCAGGACCTGTTTATGAGTCACCGTATTAGCAGATGCTCAGCCAAAGCATTTGCTTTGACCTTGCCATTCTCATTGGGGCATGAAATTACGGTGCTGGCACCTCGATATTACAGCTATAAATACTGTAAACTGCATATCTGGGCTACGTTTTCTATTGTCTTTCAACATAAACCTGATCGGTATTTATTTAAAGGAAAACCCATTGCTCGTCAGGTTATTTACAGCTCTATTTTCACTGCCTCACATTCTCTGGGTATTTTTAAAGGGCAAACAGGCAGCGAGGCTCTTACATTAAATCCATTTCTCCAATTCTGGCACTTCTGGACTTTATGGGTCAACACATAGGCCGGACAGCCAATTATAAAAATTGCTTACTAAAATATTTTCGGTGCTAAAAGGTGAATGACTTCTTCACTGTCGTCCCAAGGCCTGAATTATGAAGTTGCCCTTGAGTGAAAATTACTTACATTTTGAATATCGTATTTAGAAAAAAAAGAAGGCATGGCGGGGGTCATAAATAGATGGAGGTCAATGGGTTATTAAGAAGTAGTCAAGTGCAACTTCTCATGCGGTGCTGGAGAAGGAGATTCTACATGTCATTTGGTGAGGTACAACTGCTTGAAAATAGCATGCCCTAAATAATGACCACTCTCATAGAGTATTCATTTATGTATTAAAAAAGGGGACTCTGCTCTCATTTCCCTGCTTTATCACCTTGTACTGATGACAAAGTAGGCAAGGCCTAGGCTAGGTGGCGCCGTGGAGTAATTTATAACCACATCAATCCCTTTACCTTCTATGCAGGCCTTGGTCATTGTCATTTTTGTCCGAGAGGTGAGTCACATAACCCCACTTACAAGCAGCATCCTATTAATATCTGGGATGATGAACCTTATCCTTACCCTTACCTTCAAACCAGGTATGGTAATAGACCAATAGCCTACCTGTGTTCCCTGTGACCCTCGATCACTGCCCCTCTAGTCAGGGTTAAATCTATTAGCATTATTTATTCAACTCAATAACAATTGGGACGGTATAAAAAAGAAATAATTCAAGCTATCATTTATGTCTCAGTGACAGAGAATGTACTGTGCCTGTAATGCATTTAATATTGTATTTACCTGCATGCAACATTGTCTGTGTACTCGTAGTGTTTTATTTTCCCATACAAACTGCACTTAGTTTGGTAATCTTGGAGAGGCTGAGTGATGTCAGTTTAGGGGCCACGGTCAAAGTGACATGTTGAAGGCTGGAAAATGTGGTTGACTTTGTCCTGGGAATTTGATTTTTTTTTGGTAATTATGTGTGTAACTGCTAATTGTCTGGGCTTAATGGCGGTGCCAAAATGGGGCCCAACGCTCTTTAGTTGTTACATCTGTTAATTGTAGAGGACATGGATGGCACAATTCACTAGATGAGACTGGAGCACATTATATTTCACTCAAACACAATAAAATTTACTTGATCTTGGCAAGGAACAAATAAAGCAAAATTGCCTCAAGATGGCTGCAAGACAGTTTAAACGCAACTCATTTCCCGACTCCTCTGCAAGAGAAAGAAAAAGACATCTGGGTTTGAATGAAGATTTATATTACATCTAAGTGACAAAGTTTCAATATTTCAGCCAGTTTATTCAACAAGGACTCGAGAAGGGCAGATAGAAATATTGGACTGCATAATTGCCAATTCATAACCTTAAATTGACAGTTGAAGGAAAACAGAAAATTATATATTTCAATGAATATTGAAATAAACCACACTATTAGGGTCTCTTTGGAAAAAAAGAGATGTAACTAGAGAGGCATCCTTCAGTGCAGATTAGGGCACAAATGCGCAGGAAAATAATATGCAGGAGCGAGATTATTGTGTAAAGATTCTGCAACATGCAATCAAAGTGGGCCCTATTTTCCCCTTCATCAGCTGTCCGGCGTAAGTACTGGCAGCAAGAGGAATCCAATTTAAAATCCACTCTACCGGGAGATGGTATTGTTTCATTTTATGTGTGCTTTGACATTTCTGCCTGTTAATATAGAGTAAAATCCAGAAGTATTTACATAAATATGACATTAAACTGTATTAGAAATTAAGACTGACACATTTGCTGTGGCGAGTGAGGGAGGAGGATGATTGAGTTTCTAGGTCAAAGGGTTGAGAGGACAATACATGCTGGTTACAAAAACGGGGAAACCGTGAGTACTGGCTTGGTGTAAATCAATGCCATAGTCTAATATGGCAGAAATTAGACGGATACAAAAAAGCAACTCAAAAATCATGATGCCTGATGTTCTCTTTGACTATCTTGTGCCAACTTATTTCATTTATTTTAGTCAACAGAGAAACTTGATTTTGACACGTACTTTTTTACCTTGAAATTGTTTTGTTTTTTTAAATTACACTCACAGTAAAATAATGATTATTACAGAAATGTCCAAGATCGAGCATGTCACAGCCTTTTTCCTGAAACAGTTTCCTGTAACTTAAGCATTTATAAACACGGCGTTTACAGTGTAATTCATGCTTTGAGACACTTTCCTGTAACAACTCGAGGAAGCTTTAAGTGTTTACAGGATTTCAAGGTTCACTGTTGTATGACTACACCTAAGTCCTATGAAAACGGCAGAGTGCTACTCAAACATACTTTGTGCTCAGGGTTTCATTGCTCTATTGTCTCATTCTATACCCCCTCTCTATCCATGAGATCAATGTCTTTATGCAAATCAAGGGTTCTTGTTTAGATCTACAGTGGAAAGGACTTTCCAAAATAAATCTGCATTAAAGCATCATACATATTTCATGGACTTGAAGTGCAGTAAGAGCAAGCCATTTTAGATAGCAGAGCTCCGCGAAGTTTAACACTAAGCAGAAAGTAAGAATAAAATGTGGCTTAGTATGACATCACTTCGTATTGATGAGGCCTTATTACATTTGAGATATCCAACAGTAGATTATGAACATGCCTTGGATGTCAATAATGAGACACAAAGACAAAGACATTTCAAAAGATATCAAGAGTCATTAGAGCCACATGAGATGTGTGTATAGCAGCAGGCAACCATGGATTTGGTTTCAGGTTACCTTCTCCTGTCATGGAGCTTTTAGGCTCACTTTTCACTGTTTGACCACTCTAATGCTGGAGGCAGTGTCCCCCAGCAGGGCAGAGGTACAGCCCCCAAAGTACAGAAATGTTTTGAGAAGAAATTAAATAAAAAATATTTTTCACAAAGACCTTATCTAAGAGAAAAGCCATACTCTCTCTATGTACATACTCTGTGTACATATTGTCATTGCTCAGCCATAGACTGACAGTCAGAAACACATGGCACAACACTGCACATTTCCACCGCCGCTTTATATTGAACCGATTTAAATGAGTTCAGAGTAATAAAGCTTTTTGCAGGTTTATTGCACAAACAATGTGTCAGAAATAATCTCAATGAATTGCAAAGAAAACTGAAGAGCCAGCAAACATTTCCACCATCCCTGCTTAGAAAACCTCCCTGTGTCATGCTTCAAATTTACGATAACAGTTAAATTAAGTAAAAGGGTTAAAATGCTGGAAGGCAATATTGATAATTCCATTGAAAATGCGGGATGGAGTTTGTCAATATTAATTTTCCTGAACCCAAAGGAGCATCCCAACTGGTGTGTCATTTATTCACGGGGCCTGAATCATGCACTCTGAAGCTAAATCGACCCCTGTAAGACCCCCAGGGCAAAGAGCTACGGCCACAACCTTTGACCCTTATAGAATAATCTTACCAAAAAAAAGACATGGTGTGTGGATCCCCTGACTAACCGCATTTTTTTAAACACATACATATGGATTACAATGTTAATCCTATATTCTGACATATATATTGTATTTGTCCAGGCTTCCTGCATTGCTTTCAACATAAATCAAGAACAAATCAAATGTCTCACCTTTTTTCGTTAAGAAGGCTTTTCTAGTGGCCAAGGGACTCTGATGTACTTTTGGGTTCTGGAGAAATTTGACAGCGGTGGTAATCTGTGAAGAGAGACAAATGTGATTAAATTCCACACAGTGAGATAATGTGAGATGAAGGAGATATGGTCTGCAGGATAGTGATGCTTTCAACGTCCCTAGAAAGCATCACTATCCTGCAGACCATATCTCCTCACAGTCTAGACCTTCTTTAAGAAAAAGGTTCGTTATAAATCCAGACAAAAACTTAAATGGATATAATTTGATAGTTGCTTCTAAGCCCCCACACCCAGCAGAGAGTAGAAAGACCACCTGACCACTTTCCAGCTAAATGTGGGGAATGACCAAATCAGCAGTTATAAAATTAGCCCATCAAGAGTGCTGGTCAAATGGAGTATGGAGCTTAATTTGCTATTACCCTCTTAAAGACAAACTTCCATTCTTAAGTGCGCAGTGGAAGAAAATCTATACTTAATGCAGAGGTGATCATTTGTATCTAATAACTTGAGAATCCTAGGCTGAAAACTTCTGTAATTCTTCCAGTTAAAATCCTGCCATGATCAAATCACCCAGCCTGAATGTTGTAATGACTTGAAACGTTAATGCACTAGAACGTTAAATAGCATCAGAACATCAGTAGTTTTAAGTGCACTGCGTTCATCGATTCTATTATGTTTTCCTTCGAGATGCACCTTAATTTTCCACCCCAGTATGCATTTCCAAGAATTGGAGCGAGAAAAAAAATCTTCCTCAAATGGCATTAAAACATAAATTTGAAGTGGGCGCCGTGAAGTGGCGCCTCCTAAAATAGATAAATATGTAAGAACACAGAGAAAGGGGAAACACACTGGAGGGGAGGTTTAGATGACTTATTATCGCACCTGTGGTCCCCGTGATTCAATTGTAAAAGTCATCCCTCTAATAGGTTGAAAGGTTTTGATTACTCTTCTTTTCTCTTAGTGTTGAAAGATACAAAGTGATTGAGCGCCCTGCCAGTGGTAATTCGTTTTGGGTAATGCATTGCATATACTATGAACCGGTTTCAATCCAAAAGAATTGCAGTTTAAACTTGTCCAAAGGGTAGGTGTGGCAGAGGGCTGCATAAAGACCTGGATTTCTGTGACAAACACACAGTACAGTAGAATATCATGGCACAGGCAACTTTAGGGAACACATAAAAACATATTTAACTTGTCTTTAGAACACTATGAATACACTCAATGAGAAATAAAATGAAATTTAGTAGTTTTTGAGTCAACAACGTTTTACTTCAATTAGGTACAAACATGAAAATAATGATGCACAATCCATACATTTACTCTTGATTTATACTTTTTTTGTAGCTCTACTTTAAGACAAACACAGTAATGAAACTTCAATGTCAATTTTATCAAAACATGCCAGATTCCTCCCACGAGATCCTGGCACAATTTATTTAGACACTAATCTACCATTTCACTGTGACACCACCGTGACCTTGGTGTACATATGGGTTACGCAAGGGGTATGGAATTTCCTGCATCTCTATATGCTGAGGGCTTATTAAAGTCACTCACCCGGAACCTTCATTGTGACAAGCAGATTAAACCATTTGCATGGTGAACCCCCAACTGATGTTCTGGGCCAAAAGATACAGTCAAAACACAGAGCAAATATCCCTTTGATAACGAGACAAAATCATCCTGCTCTTGGCAAAGCTCTTACTGCTCAAGTTAAGTGAGCCAATGAGAGTACTTGTGGTAGAGGCAGAAACCAGAGATAATAAACACACTGAAATCTAATATTGTAATATTTATTCCAGTAAATAACGGAGGCCCTGTGAGAGGTAATGACCTAATAGAGGAAGAATATGCTGAGTGAGCAAACCTTGTTTACGTACTCCTAAAATTTCAATAGCAAAATATTGACAGGGAAATGGTGTCAATGTTAATAGGCATAAGTATGACATCTTAGTAAGGACCGCAGCTTGCTCAGCGGCAAACTAATGAGGCAAATGTCCATTTGGTTAAATCTGTAGTGGAAGGATCTTCAGGGAGAGGAAAAGTGCACTTCTTAGCAGATGACATAGATGCTTTGCACAAGTTCCACCCAGACATCTCAATCAATTATAACCACATTGCACAGATTTCAGTCTTGTCTTGTTATTGACTTATGGATCATCCCAGTTATAGTGTTGGGTAGCACACAACTGGGCTTTTAGAGGGTTAAGATGGATGGAAATGTATGCACATTTGGGTTGGAAGAGTAAATTACCAAAATAAAATGTAGGTGAATTTCCTTCATTTTTGGCAAACTATAGGAAAATATTTTGGTGAAATCAATGTTGGCTCTTTTGTAAAGCTTCTTGTAAAGCTTTGACTGCTAATGCACCAAAGTGCTCCATATTAACAGCAATAATCTTTACAAACCAGATAACCAATAAAGTGTCAGGTAAAGCCGAAAAAGAGGCGAAAACTCAATCATAGGAAGAGATAACATTAACCAACACACTTAAAGAGAGTGAAGTTGATGAACAGACAAGATTACAGCAATGTTATTGAGTTTGAATTGGACAAGACTTTGCGCTGCACTTGTCTGAAAATTACAATTGTGATACGTTGAATTGTGAGAAATGAGAATAAAAACCAATTATGTTCGAACCACATGGTTGGACGCCTGAGGGAATCCATGTAACCAGTTGTATATGTTTGCTCTAACTAGTGAGAGCACTTAACTATTATATACAGTGAGGCCTGCAGATATACTGCAGGTGCGCATTATGGGGGTTTCAGAAGTATTTGGAAAATTCATAATTTATATACTGAAACAGCAACAAGCTGTATGCTGTATGATTGTTTTCGGCTGGTTTCAATATTGGAAGTTACAGTTAGTTTCAGTATTTGAAATTAACTAGAGAAAATCATTTTAAAAACAACAAATGTAAAGATGCAACAGAAGAAATGGTTTAAAACTTTTGAAAAGGCTATAGGATCAGAAAGCAGTGGTTGAAACTGTGGCTTTCCTTCCTAAGAGGTTCGCTGCATGTTGTTTGACATTTTAAATTACATATACTTCACGTTTTTAAATCTCAGGGCTTATCTAAACTTCTATCCAAGTGTAATTGTATAATGAAACAAAACACTGCGTTGAGGCGATTTAAAAGTAGAAAGTAGTCACAGATTTTCTTTTACAGAAAAATACATTCCCATGCACTTAAAAACAACTTCATCTATTCCACAAAAAAGGTATATGTAACAATGAAGACATTCAGAGGTCATGATGGAACTAGATGTTTGGTGGGGGGGTTCAAAGGAGGGGCTAAGAGGAAATCATTAGCAAGTATAGGATTCAGTCTCAGTGTGAATCAATTCATTCCAAATTGCCCCGGCCTGTACATTTGTGGAGAAGTGCCCCTGATATAATAACAGACTGATAGACATGAACAAAAATTGTGTTAGGCTGGTCTCAAGTTTCCCCCCCAAACACACGTTTGGAGGACCAAAAGCGAGAGAAAGTGAGAGACGGGGAAAAATGAAGCTCTATATTAATTTGGTGCTTTCATGGATGATCTGCTATCAGTGGCAGCTGTCTTAAATGACTTAACCCAATACCTTTCTGATACCAGAGCTCTACCAGGAAGGAATGAAGCTTTAATGCAATTATTGTGTTTCCTTTAATCGCCTGACTGCTTGATGTGGCCAGCAGTGCTTTTTAATCTTTTGAAAGAGCAGTTTTAAATGCCCTTCTAATTGTGACATCTTTCCCGCCTTGATGTGACCTTTAGTGGAGGAAGTAGGGCCTCATGGGAGCAGCAATAGGGAATTATTGACCCTGAGAGACATCAGGAAGTGAGGTGCAGACCCGACCACATTCACTCTCGCTCAGACCCTGCAGGAGCTTCAACGGCTCTGCTGGAGCTGAACCATTCTGACAATGACTGTACAAAAGGAACTTGTCGGGTCTTTGTGTCTCTTTTGGGCAGTGCTTTTCAGAGAAGTTACACAGTGAAAAGAAAAAAAACATTACTGAAACTCAATATCAGTTAAATCAGATAAAAAAAGAGTACGGGTGAAAAATGTCCCTTAAACGAACTAGTAAAAATCTTGCTTTACTTTAGTTATAAAAAGGACCAGCGAGTGGAAAATAAATAGAGTGGTTTTGGTTTTGTGTGTCTTATTCTCTCCTCTGTGGGTAATCAATTGTTATCGAATGGTATGAAATTTGAAAGATCAGAGTCAACATAAATGAAAAAGGGTCATGGAAAACTTCATTGACATTTGCTTTGCAAAGGTTTAAAAATAACATACAGCGCTGTATCAGTGTCAGTGTTAGAGCCATGGGCAAGGCTACAAACATGACATCAAAAGCACATTATGCAAGTTTTGTAAAGGGGGGGGGGTTGGTGGACGGAAATCGAGCTTTTTTCAAGTCCACTGCATGTACAGACTAAACTTTCCATTCAGCAGCATTTCCCTATCAGAACTCTGTGATCACAAACACGGAAAAGTTGAGTCGGTTCAGCGGTAAGAAACACTTGGGGTTAAAGTACATTTGATTCAGCGAGGACACCATCAAATTGTAAAAACTGTGCAGAGTACAAATAAAAGCAGATAATACAGCCTTCGAGGTCATAGTAAGGCTGTCAAGGAAAATAATTGTTTTCCTAGTAGGTAGTTTTACTAGGCTGTAAAATTATATTTTAAAACTGTAAACTGTATTTTAAGACTCATTATGTCGGGTATGAAAGATGTTACCATGTGATTACTTCACTTCCTGTTCTTTGTACATTTAGGTTATGATATGTCTAAAAACTGGTGTCAACAAGTGTGCTTTGTCTTCAAAGGTTTGAGTTTAAAAAATAATAATTCAGCCTATTTCAAGGTCTAAATGAACAAGATTGAAACAATGACAACGTACTGCAGCATTAAGAAACAGTAGTTGGTGCTCACAGTCTTTTTGAAATCAGATGAATCAAAGTGAAGGATTTCTAATATTCTTGTGAGGCCTAAACCTGCATAGAAACAAGTGGCATCCAGCCAATTCAAAACTATCTAGCGGGGTCTGACGTTTCTTAATGTGTAACT